GTCTGAAGATGCTGAGGAGTGTTTTTACTGAAGAAAATTGCAGATTTATGAAGATTCACTGTTTGCCCTGTAAATAGTCTGTATTGCTCAAGGAGATTCATTAAAATAGCAGCTTGATCTGTACCAGCTTTGCAAAAAAACAAGGAGTCATCTGCAAAGAGCAGATGAGATAGCAAAGGACCATTTCTGGAAATTTTCATCCCTTTGAGCATACCACTATTAATAGAGTGCAGCACCAAGGCAGAGAGTAATTCAGCTACAATAATAAAAAGGTAGGGGGATAGAGGATCCCCTTGCCTTATTCCTCTAGAGGGAGTGACAAACCCACTAAGAGAGCCATTGATTTTAAAGGAAAAGCTTGTAGAGGAAATGCAACTCAAAATCAGCTTAACAAAGTCAACATGAAAGCCCATATGCAGCATTATTTTTTTCAAACAAGACCATTCTACACGGTCAAAAGCCTTTATGAGATCCAATTTAAGAGCCATGAAATAATTAGGGCCAGAAGAATGCCTATTTAGAAAATAGAAGGCTTCCTGAGCAATAATAACATTGTCCATCAATTGTCTGCCTTCCACAAAAGCAGCTTGGAAATCACTAATGCAATGAGTCAAGCAAACTTTCAGTCTAAGAGCCAAAATTTTAGAAATGACCTTGTACACCACACTACATAGACTGATAGGTCTAAATTGCCCCATATTCTCAGGATTTAAAGTCTTTGGAATTAGTGAGATCACAGTATGGTTCCAGTATTTAAGGATCATACCTGACTGGAAAAAGCTCAGAACAGCTTCCAAGAGATCCTTCTTAATCAGACTCCAGAAATGTTGATAGAAGCTGGCAGTCATTCCATCTTCACCAGGAGATTTTTCAGGATGCAGGCTGAAAAGAGAATGCTTCACCTCCTCTTCTTCTACAGGCTTAAGCAAAGCTTGGTTCATCTCATCTGTTATTGAAGTGAGGATAATGGGAAGAATTGAATCTCCTCCCCAGCATCCTTCAGTGGAGAAAAGATTTTGGTAAAACTCTTCAATGTGTCTCTCAATTGCCCTCTGAGAAGTAAAAATGCTGCCCTGAGGGGAGACCAGCCTAGTAATTGCATTACTTCTCCTCCTTTGAAGAGTCAGAGCATGGAAAAACCTAGTATTGGCATCACCTTCCTTGAGCCATCTGGATTTGGCCTTTTACTGCCAAAAGAGTTCCTCTTGTTTATGTGCTTGGTTGAGGTTTCTCTTTGTAGACTCCCATTCCTCCCAGTCAATAGAGTACTTATCCACATTCAGCTCTTCAAGTTTATGGGTAAGTGTAGCAATGGTTTCTTGATTTTTGGATTGAAAGGTTGAGCTCCATTTGAGAAGAGCTATTCTGGTGAATTTGATTTTCTCCTTCAACCGGAAAAAAGGGGTTCCATGAACTTCAGTGGCCCATGCTGACTTCACCACATCTCCACATCCCTCTCTGCTGAGCCACCTTTTGTCAAAATGGAATATAGTTTTCTTTTTTTCTCTGGGAAGACCCTCATCAATAAGGAGTGCAGAATGGTCAGAAGCACTTCTAATCTTATTGGTGACAAAAGCATTGGGTGGTGCTGGTTCCAATCAAAAGAGCCAAAGGCTCTGTCAAGCTTCTCTTCCACCAGATCAGGGAATGCCCTATTGTTACACCATGTGAAGGAAGGTCCCTCCATCTTAAGCTCCTCCATTGCCATGCTGTTGATGAAGTTTGTGAACCCAGAGAAGGTGCTAGGATGTCTGAGATTGCCTCCTGCTTTTTCAGAGAGTGAAAGAATGTCGTTCCAGTCTCCTATGGCAAACCAATTATTACCCCAAGATACTTTGTCCTCAATCAGAGTTTCCCATTGAATAGTTCTAGCAGCTCTAATAGGACTGAGATAAATAAAAATTCCCCATTGAGAGACTACCTGGGGGAGGATAAATTCCACTGCAACATAAAAATCTTTAAGAACTATTTGCTTAATAATAACTTGAGCTTTCCAAAATAAGGCAAGTCCACCACTGAGTCCTGAGGGATCCACAGTAATGAATCTGTCTTCAAAACCCAATTTTTTACTAACAGTATGAACAAAAGCCTTAGTTTTTTTTTTGTTTCTGATAAAAAAAGAAAATTTGGGTGATGAGTTTTCAGCAACTCTCTGATTTGGGAAATGGTAGAGGGCCCACCCAGCCCTCTACAATTCCACACCATGGCTAACATTTATCACTTGGGTGCCACTCTAGGCTGGCCACCCCCACCTTTTCTGGAGCCATTATTAGTTTGGAACTGTCACCTTGTTTCAGCTGCTTGGCATCTTTATCAGACACTGAGAACTCACCTTCTTCATGAGGCCTTTTATTGCCTGAGACATTATCAATCACAATGGGAATACACAATCATATTTATTGAAATACACATTATTAATTTTTTCTAACATTGTAACGTATTAAAAAAATACACACAATATATTACACAATAATGTTAGACTAAATGCATATTATTGTATGTGAGAATGCACAACATCAAACCCATGATTTCATATATTATATTTTGTCAACCAAAGGAAAATATAAAATTATTAAGTTAAATTAATAAAAATTGAATATAATATTAATATAAGTAATAAATTTGTTTGTTTATTTAGGGTTATACGGTTAACCGGTATAATACACTAAATAATTCATATTAATTATAATTTACGTTGAGATAAAAAGTTTGGTCAGATTAGGATGCACAAAAGCGACCAAGACTATGCACACTCATGTTGGACAAGTAGCACATTAATGCCTATCAGATTGCGCAAACGATCGAACTAAGATTTTTCTGTTCGAATTTTTTATATTTCGATTTAATTATCTATTTTTTACTCTTAAAAGTTTGAATATTTGGTTTCTATGTCGACATTATTATTTAAAACAACGAAACACCCAAAACCGACCAAATGGTAAGCGGTGCAAAGTCTATAGCATAATAAAATTACAATGTGATTTTAATGTGCATTTTAACCTACAATACTGTGCATTGATTGTATCATTAATGTGCTATCGTTTGAAAAAAAAAAATATATTGTATCTTTAATGTGCATTTGTTAAACTTTAATAAATTACAAGAATGCCACACATATTAAAATATGAAAAATTAAAAAAAAAAAAAAAATTGAAAATTGCATCATAGTCTGTGTAACTTATTCAATTCTCAATAACAAGTCCCTAGACACAAAAAACACCAATATTCCCGTCACTCAGCCCTGACCAACGCCCTCTGCCTGCCTCATTCGCCCGCCGCCCACCGCCATCCGCCCTCTATCCGCGGCATCTACTCCCACCAGGTCGCCGACGTTCGGCGTCTGAGACGGGACGCCTGAAGCCTCTCGATGCTACATTGACGCCGACCGCTGCAACTATCCGTCGACCACAAATCTCCGCCGTTCGTCTTCCTCTGCCTATGCCGCCGAAAAATAATCCCCCAGCGACCTACAATCAGCACCGAGACGAATATATCTACTGTGCCTTGCTGGAAGCCTTCTTCGCCGGAAGTCCGAGAGTCGGTCATGGATGGTGACGGGTAACTGTTGCAGCGGCAATTCTTTCGGTTGTCGGCGACTGGACCGGTGGATCTGACCGGCGTTTACCGTTGATGTAGTGTGTGTGTGTGTGCATGTTGCGCGAGTTAGTGTGTGTTTTTATGTGTGAAAATGAATCTTACCGGCGTGGTATGTGGAGGCGGTCGGCGCTGGGTGGTCGGCGGAGAGAGATCGTATGGTGGCGGTGGCGAGTGTGTGTGTGTGTGTCTCTGTTAATTCTGAAAATTGAGATGAGGAGGATGGTGTAGATGACGATGGTGAGATGGGAGATGGTGGGTGTGGGTTCCATCTGATGAGATGATTTTATGACTACTTTACCCTTTATTAGTGGTACAATACATTTATTTGACCATAATATTACTACTTATTTACGATATTGTCATTAATGATTGACCATTATTTATTATAGTTTGACTTGATCATGAACATTGGTGGGATTGATCTTGTGGTCTAGAATCATTCTTATTTCTTTCATTGTATTTAATTCTCTTTTGAGCGCACTTCTATCTATATATATATATATATATATGTGGGGGGGTCGGTGGTGTGTGTGTGTGTGTGTGTTTCGGGAAGGGGGTAAAAAAAAGTCATTTTGACAAATCCAGTATAAAACATGAGTATTATTGTAAATAATTAAACTTATTATTTTTTAATTATTAGTTGTATTTTACATATTTTACCATTCTGTTATAATAATATAAAATTTTTCCCTTTTTTATTTTGACAAAAATATTTAATTTTCAAGCACCCATATTGTTCACGAGCGTTATATTAACTGTCGAATAAATTAACTTTTTAATAAAATGAATATATATTAAATAGAATAAATACTACTTCATAAAAATTATGTTTTAAAATTCGAAAGACCCAATTACTTCATAAGAGAATAGAGACCTTACTCAATTACTTACCAGATCTCCTACGCTCTCTCAGAGACCCATAATCTAAGGTGTTTTTAAAACTCATACATACGAAAGACCCAAAAATCTTTGAATATTTTTCAGAAGTAGTATTGTTGGAAATCATTCGGATAGTAATGCTAAGGAGCCAACAGCCAATAAGATAGCTCCATGTGGGGCTGTCCCACATTGATCATTAGTAATCTGAAATTAACAAGATCGACATAAGAATTCAAGAAAGAAAGTTTTTTAGTCGGACGAAGAGTCGATGATTGAGCCAAGTATAATGTCCTTATCTAGAAAGACAAATTGGGGAATATTTCTATATGGGAAGAGAAAATGACAAATATAAGCACCAAAACGCTTGTGTTCAAAACAAATAGAGAAACTATATGCCCAAAAAGATGGATACACGTTTTACACCAATTGAATAGTTATAGTACTTGTTCAGTCAAGATGGATAAAATCCCCTTTATAGTTTAGTGTATAAGATGGAGAAAAAAAAATTGATGGTAATTTATTACCTCATATATAGATTGAGCAGCTCCAAAGATAAAATCTACAGCTCCTTCAATTGCACAACGCTTGAAAAAATGTCTGCCCTTATCATCCAACAACGTGTCTTGGTACCCCAAAGAGCTGCACTCGTAAAATGCCGATTAGTCACCGGAGATTCTTGCAGCCACCACTGGCATCACCGGATTGCTGTTCTTTTTTGGGGGATAATTATAAGAGTTCTTTGTTTAATTAGGACAACTTTATGTAATAAGGAACAAAAAGAAAAGTATGATTCATCTTATTAAAAAATAGTAACTATACAAATTTTAACACAAAGGTAATCCCTGAGACTACAATATTATCGGCCATGGAGGCAAAAGTGGGTGATGTCAACATGGAGTCATGTGCGCCCCATACTAGTACAGTTTTTCCTATTCCTTCTCCTTTGAGATATATGAACGGCTTGTCTCGAGGAATTTTCACTTGTTCTCTTCATGCAAAAACATAACACATACACATACCAATCAAAACATTACTATGCGACATTCATTCTTGTAGTAGCATGTTAGNATGTCAAGGCTTTCACAAAATTATCCCACCAAAAACCCACTAAAGAAGAGATCTGAAATTTCGAACACTTAAAATCTAATACCAATGGGGGTGTTTCTGAAATTAGTGAGAATGTTATCGATCCGAAAGTAGTGTTTCTCTCATCAAAGATGAATCGCACAAAAAGTCTGTTGTTTTTTTTCCTCACCTTGTGTAAAATAATATATAAATAGTTATTTCAACCTTTTTCTTTTTTAGTCTAAAATACCATGTGTGTGGTTGGTTAGGTTCATAGTAATATACTATGATAAATGGAACTTGTTCATGGAATATATAGAGAGATAGAGAGATAGAGAGACTAAAGGAGGAGAATACTTGTAAACTCCAGTTTTGACAGAGATGTTTATCCAATGGTGGTTGCGTGGGGGAACAGAATCGATTGCTTCTTGAATAGTCGGGAAGCTCGTGTTACAAGTGGGATCCACATCATAGGTAGTTGATTGATGCTCCTCGTTTTTTAATTGCAAACAAGTACAAAAAGTTGTGGAAGTGATCAATAGTGTGAACTGCCAAACTATGGACGTTATTTTCATCTGCCGTACGCAGATTATCTTGAAACAGAAATGTCGAAAGAAAGTTTATTAGAAAAGTACTACTTGTAGCGGAAAAAATGAACAAAACCTTGCATTAAAAGGATGATGAGGATCCATAAAGTTTATTTTTTTTTTGTGTAAAGCTCCTTATAGAGATAATATATATCATCTATCAACTTTAATTTTCACTTTCTTACCTTTCTTACTATTTTTATTTATGGATGTTAGGACATCATATTTGGGTCAACNGGAGTAATTTCCATTAGAACACATTATTTATGTATGTGTGAATTTGGTTAATTCTTGTCAATTTTGTGGTGAAACATATTTTCAAATGTGAATTTTACTCATTTTCCAGACAAGAAATGTAATGCCACAGGGACGGATCCAGAAAATAAAAATAGATTGGGCTAGAATTAAATACTCATTATAATAAAAAATATATAATATTTTTTCTTCAAATATTCACTGAAGTTGTGCCCGACGAGTTTTTACAGAATAAAATTCATCAATAATAGAATCTATACTTGTGCTATTAGTAAGCTCTCGTTCGATGAAGAGAATCAAGCAATCTTCGAGAAAACCATCCCCAATCTTATTGCGTAGTGCTGTCTTCACATGCTTCATAGCTAAAAATGCTCGTTCGGTTGTAGCAGTAGAAACCGGTAACGTCAGAACTAGATGGATCAATCTAGTTAACATAACGTACACTTTCGATCTACCACTCTCTGTTAATTTCTGGCATAATTCAACGAGCGTAGATGCTTGAAAAATCTTAAGCACATCATGCTTATAATGAATTAACTCATATTCCAAAGTCACAATATCTTGAAGTGTAAAATCTTTCGGATAGAACTTTCTCGTAAGCTTGTAAATATCATTACTATTAAATGATTCAAAATAATTGTTAGGATCCAAAGCCACAGTGACAGAAAGAAGATCAATAGAGGCATCATTAAACCGTACGTTCAACTCCATCAAAATGAAATCAATTGTTTCATTGAAGATGTCAAAGTGGTAATGATGTTCAATTGTGGTATGTCCGCAAGAACGACCAACCTTATAAAAGTCATCTAAGTTCGGAACATCAATAACATTTTTTCGAGCAAAAAAATTTAACATCCTCAAGAAATGTCCTCCAACCAGATTCTCTTAAATCTTGAAGAACATTTTTTGTTGTAGACACAAAAGTGATAGCCGTCACTATATATTGAGTTTTTTTTTTTATTTTTCTTTTTGAAGTACCTGGCAAAGAGCATCAGTGATTCTGAAAATTTTGTGCATCAAATGCAATACAAACACAAATTCGAAGGTTGCCATATTTCTATAAACCCCACGAATTTCAGCCTTAGATCTTCCACTTGGACAATGAATGCTCCATGAGATATTCAAACACTTTGCAAGTGGCGGCATATGTTGGGATCTGTGAGGATCTTGTTATGTACAAATCACGAATTCAATAGCAAACGTAAACCTATGCGCAACGGATCTAAAAGTTTGACGTAGAGAACTTACGGCTTAAACTTTATGTAGATCTGGTTGACCACGAACGGTTGACCGCAATTGATTGACCGCAACACGCGTCTTGGGTTGCACGAACAAGATCAGATCAAAACTGGATCAAACAGATGCAAACAGATCAAAACGAAATTTTGCTGCCAGACACCTTCCGGCGGCACGTGAGGGCGCGTGCGACGTCGGATTCCGGCGACGTCAGCGGCGATGGAAAGCTCTCGTCGAGACGGTCGTCTGGGTATACTGTACGTCTCAATCGGACTTCCGGTTAGTTCTGTAGGTCAAAATCTATTTCATCTCGGTTTACCTACAGATCTTCTACTGTATTACTCAATACACCCTTCTTCAACTTGTACCAGTGGAGCAACAAGAAGAAGATAAAGCTCGAATGAGATCTAGAGAGAGAGACGTGTTTCACGTGAGAATGAATTCTGTTCTCTTCTCATGAGCTTAATGATGTATATATAGAGCTACAGTAGGGACCCTAAGGAGATTAGGAAAAGGGCTCCTTAATTAATTAGACTAACTGTGGGCCAAACCCACTCCTCTAATTAATTAAATAATATTAATGGGCCACCAACATTATATTATTGCACTCCCTTTCCCTAGCCCAAATTACATTTGAGACTCCAATAATAATTACTCGATTTACCTCCCCACGTTTAAGATATAATGTCCATTAATTAATTCGATTACTGACAATCAAGAATTAATTAATTTATTATTATTTCACCGAAGCTAGCGCTCGTTCATCACATTCTTATTATGCCGGAATTTAATCCACCTGCAGGGTTTAGCATAACAATCCTTCATGAACTCACTCCGGGGACATCATCAAACTAACGCACATGGTGACCGTAAATATCCTAACAGCACATCCTATATATAATAATATTACCCAAAACAGTAGGAATATTAATCTAGCGAGCTGAACCTCACCCATGTGAATCAAAGTAATATATATTATATATATCTGCCTGTTTAATATCTTACGGGTTAAGAGAACGCAGTAATTAACCGAGGCCTAGTTCATTTACGACGATCAGTATAAAATGAACTTCTCCTCTCTGGGATCCTGTTCAATACATAAATGTACTAGTGCAACTAATCAGTCAAGACAAACTGTACAGTTGACACTACAACCGTTCGGATGGGGTGTTCATGTCCATCTAGGTTGTGAACAACTATTCTTGTTCGCAAGTAACTGATTAGAGTAATCTTCGGTTCGCCCGATGACGACCCACCCTATCTAAGTGCAGAACAACAGAACGTAGAACTTGTTTAATCTAACATGATTCTCATTCATAAAGGGTAAATGTGTAATATCATGCAAAGCCAAACTTTCAGTATATAACACTAACAGCATACATATTTGATGTGCCAAAATAATCGACTCACCGAGGTAGCCGGTCGAACTGCCTCATCTCAATTGCAAGACAGCTCGGACGTTTCGATCGCCTTTGTCTTCAAGAACCGGATCGACCTGCAAAGCGCCGGGGCGGGGCTCGGCGTAGACACACCGACGCTCAAGTCAGAAAACAGATATTTTCATCGTGTATCTTAAGTAATCTTATGAGCTTAGGATTAGAAAATGAACCTGAAATCCTTATTTATAAGAATTTAATGACTTCTTCCCCAAGAAAAAGGGTTTCCTTAATTACCAAGGAGTCTCATTCTCCCAAATCACTGTGTGGATATATACAAACATACTTAAATATCTCTTAGGAATATTTTCTAGATCTTCATGGATATTTCTAACCCATACCATGTATCGTATAAATGGTTCTAAGCTTCATTGGACCGGCCCTATCCGAGCTAACCGCTCAGCCGATTCACTGAGTTATTCTTGGTGCTACATCATCTAGCCCCCCACTCTAGACGAGCTTATGAATATAAGACTTATCTAAGAGTAGAATAATCATTTCTCGCCCAAGTCTATCTCGTAGGACAATGGCGTCAAGATCCTGGGCTCGTCCAGGCCCCATGTTTTACCACGTCGGAGTTCTGCTGCCTTTTACGTGCAACTATGGCTCTCGGGCCAACTTTGGACAACCTGCTCGATGTTCCACCACCTTAATACGTTTGACACTCGCGCTATCTGCTCGAGTTGTAATGATGACTCCCGCATTTACATCGTCCAGGAGGTGAGGTCTCTTCATACGCAATCTCTCTAATAAGGTCGAGTATCAAAGCAGACCCAAAACTCCTTTGGGTCCTCCAAGCTACTAACCACTCCAGTCGGGCCACCGAGTGAATATCGCTAGAACGGAGGTCCACGTGATCCAAACGACCTATTCCAAGCGACATCGTCCTCGCTGGTTCGAGTCGGGCACCTCTACTGTGGGTTATTCTCCTGAGCTCCACGAGATCGCGCACCGCCACGGCGGGTTAATTGCCCCCGATCCTGCTACAAGTGAAAGGACCCACTGCCAAGCTCTAAGATCTAGAGCCACTCCACGACAGGCTTTCGCCTAATTTTGGCTATGAGTCCTAGGACCTGCTGCGGAGCATATAATCACAACGATACTACCAAGCTTATAAACACAACGAATATCCTGCCCTAATGCAGCAGCAAGTTTAACTTCATGTCGGGCTAGGATAAGCTCAGTTATTGTTTGATTTGGACACCTGTCGAGCTTCTCGAGCTTGAGTAAAGATGACTCAACAGGCTTTCGTGCACCGCCGAGCCCTGCGAGCTCGAGCGCCATCCTCAACAGGGTTTCGCCCTATCTCGAGCACCGCGAGCTCCGCGAGCTCGAGCGACTTCTTCAACAGGCTTTCGCCATATCTCGACCATCGCAGAGCTCCGTGAGCTAGAGCGACATCTTCAACAGGCTTTCTCTGTAACACCCCGCTCATCAGAGTAAATTTTTCGCAACTTTTACTTCGAAAATACTTATAACTCTTTCGAAATATTTTGCGACTAACTCGGGATGATACTCAAACTCATCTTTTCTGGAAATCCGTTTATCTTTAAACTTTGTCTAATACTTCTTTAGACATAAAGAAAACAGATTTAATTAAACTTGCATTTAACTATATCATATTCATACTTCTGAAATAATAAAAACTTGAAATCTGAAATTTATTAGAATGCAAGTTCAAGTCTCAATGTGCGTAGCGGCAATACTAAAAAACGTGAATAATTATACAGACATATCAAGTTCATAATAAATGTCCACTTAAAGATGTGCACGACCACAACCACCACTTCTTGAGCTCACACCTCCAGCCCGACCCTGTTACCTGAAAAACACAATGGGGGTGAGTATTGATCCTCTTGTACCCCGAAATCACCCATACTAAAGTAAACAGCAATAATAATATAATATCATGATCTTTGGTATATATCTTGACTGGAAATCTGCTCTAGTAACTTAAACTGAATCTGGCCGATATCTAATCGGATACTTGTGCACAATCTGATGGATATTTCTCAAGACAACTCAAACGGCCTCCATCAGAACTTAGGATATACTCTGAGACAACTGAATGCCTCCTCATCCCAAGCGTATAAACTTAAACTGTATACATACCTCGAACATGATATCAATATTATACTCAATGTAATACCCAGTCTGGGTCCCCACCTTTCTCTTTTGAAAAATCATAAATGTTGATCTCGAGTAGCTAACTCCTCAAGCTACATAAAAATATATAAACAAATATACTAAGTACTATGCTCGTATACTCAATAAGATGCTCGGATTCTCAACTCTTTTCGGATAACTCATCCAAATCTTTTAAAATTTCAATATTCATGCTATTGCTCAAACTTAACTTTTCTTGATCTTTTACTCAATCAAATACTTAACTCATCATATATCATATCTCCCAAATCTTATATATATTGGCTTATACTCATTTTTCACTTAATTAACTTGAAAGTGAAAATAAACTCATATCATACTCAACTTTTAATCATGATATTAATATGTGAGATTTAAAACAATCTTTACAAGATTATATACTCAACATATCAGTTTAAAACTTTGTCAAATTGTTCATCACTTATATGAGAATTGTTCATAATAATCTCATCTTAACAACTTGAACATATCATGAATATTCTTGCATATATACTCATCTTTACATATATGCCATGTTGTTATCTTAACTTATTCATTTCTCATCTTCAAATCATGAAATTTAACAGTCATAATCTCAACTCATAATTAGACATGTCATAAAAATTTCAAAATTTTATCATGCATATACATCAAGTTATTAGAATTTGAAGTTACAACTAAAACATTGAACATAAAATTCAGCATACATGTTCATCTTCAAATCTCTACAACTTAAGTTATTATATACCAAATAACTTAATTCTTGTTCTCATGTACTCCTTTTTTATATAAGAATCATTCATATAAATCATACTTTTCCAGATTATTCATATCTTCATTAACATCTCATCAAATCAAACACATATATTATATAATTGATCTTGAACAACTTTAACTTTTTGTATTCATATAATCAATTATAAATTTAACTTATCAATTATACTTATAAACATCTAAACTTATTATCAAAGTATGAACTTAAGCATAAAACTTTAAGATAAGTAAACCTCCTTCTTGCCAAAATCGTAAATTGATCCTTCACTTCTTATTTCTTCACTTCTCCACAATTTTTACTACTTATCTCTCTCTCACTCTTATATATCTTTTGTTACTTATCTTTGGTGTGAGAACTCTGATTTTTAGGCCTCTATTTATAGGCACAAATTGGCAATACATCATAATGGAGTGAAGAAATGTCCAAAATAAACAATTTAAACTTATAAACTTATTAATCATAAACTAGTTTATGATTAACTTGTCTACACATCAAAACATAATTAATTATCAAAAATGGCCTCTGGTTGACATCACAATCGGACTCTCAATGATCAAATATGACTGTCGGCAACACGACTCGTGTGGCATGTCACACGACTCGTGTGACCTCACACGACTTGTGTGGCTAGTCACACGACTCGTGTGGCTATGTCACACGACTCGTGTGAAAAAGCCGAGGCTAACTTTCACCTCCTCATCCTCCCACACGACTCGTGTGGCTAGTCACACGACTCGTGTGGCTATGTCACACGACTTGTGTGAAAAAGCCGAGGCTAACTTTCACCTCCTCATCCTCCCACACGACTCGTGTGCCTTGTCACACGACTCGTGTGGCTTATTTCACACGACTCGTGTGGCTTATTTCACACGACTCGTGTGGCTTGTTCCTTGAAAAACTCTTAATTTCGAACTTATAACTGAATGCTGAGTCTCGAAATTAATCAAATCTTGGAACAACTACTGATACTTTATTAATAACTGAGAGGGATATTACATTCTCCCTATCTCGACCATCGTCGAGCTCCGCGAGCTCGAGCGACTTCTTCAACAGGCTTTCGCCCTATCTCGACCATCGCCCAGCTCCGCGAGCTCGAGCGACATCTTCAACAGGCTTTCGTCCTATCTCCACCATCGCCGAGCTCCGCGAGCTCGAGCGACATCTTCAACAGGCTTTCGCCCTATCTTGACCATCGTCGAGCTCCGCGAGCTCGAGCGACATCTTCAACAGGCTTTCGCCCTATTTCGACCATCGTCAGCTTCGCGAACTCGAGCGACATATTCAACAGGCTTTCGCCCTATCTCAACCATCGCTGAGCTCCGCGAGCTCGAGCGACTTCTTCAACAGGCTTCGCCCTATCTCGACCATCACCGAGCTCCGCGAGCTCAGACACCGCCACAGCGATTTTTCGATGCTCTCATGTGAACCTGTGGCTCGAGGCCACCCTGCACTTATCGTAGAACCAGATAAACGTATTTCTAAATATATGGAAAGATTTGATATTTCTTCAAAGCAATAACCCAAAGAACTTATCATCACAGCTTAACGTGATCATCGAAAATAAGTATAGACTAGCTTATGTACCTGGAGTCGCATATATCACCGCATACCTCTTTATGAAAATAATCGGGGTGTGAATCCCTTGTACAAGATCGTCGGTTTCTCTCCTCGAGCTAATCCTCTCCGACAACAATGTGGGAATCATCGAGTCTTTTGCATAAATAATCTGGCGGAAAAACATCTCCTCGGGTCGTCCAGACCCTTTAGGCGAATAAGTGAGTTCCAAAGCAACCTCGACTCTTGAATTTGCGAGTGCCAAAGTGACCTCGACTCGGCGTGAGGTCATCCGAGCCACATGAGTCCGACCCTCAGCCAATCGACTACTGTCTTCAGATGTTAAACTGCAACACAGAACTTTGGTGAGTTCGTCGGGTCCGTGACCTAGGCCCCTTTGCCCCCTCTTGTCGGGTCGTGAGAGAATATTGGAGCATTGTAATATCTCCTCGCATAGTCATGACTGCTTCACGTAAATTACCAAGCGTCACAATTCGTCGTTGGACTCTCCGGACCTCTTACTATAAAATGCCAACGCCTTCGTCTGGCTCTCCTTATACCTTCGTAAATAGCCGTATCCTTCCGTTCTGCCTATGGTGCGGAACACCTTGCCAGGTCTCCCCATCCTTTCTTCAAAAAATAATAGAGCTTGCAACGACTCCTCGAATTTCCCGACCTCAGCATCGCAAAACATTGGAGCATAAAATAACCTCGACCCCTTGTTGTATGAATTATCAAACTTTTAGTTCCTCGTCCTCACATCCAATAAAACCTTATATGTATTCTTTCGTCTTCAATAGCCGGCCTCTTTGGCTTGAGGCCAATCACACTCCACTTTCCCAAATAGGCCCAGCTGCAAAGTAAGGCCTAAGTCTCACAATTGTTGCAAAATCAGAAAATTGTGAAAGCATGGTCATCTCCTTCACCACTTTTGTTTGAAGATTTTTATCCACTTCTCCATAAAACACGACTATGAATGACGTCAACCGACGGGCTCTATTCGTCGGTGGCAGACGATGATCTAGGAGCAGCATGACAATCTAACTTCAGACTTGCGACGGTGCATCACGTGGTAATCGAACCTTTGTTAGCTGACCGAAAACGATCATCTCGGACCTATTGGTCGTTCAACGACAGAGGCGAGGATCTGGCCGCTCATCTTGGCCAAAAAATAATCGACGACAGGTGACGTGACTTCGTTTGGATGCTGACAACAACTTTGAGGACGTCCGTTGAAGCTAAGGTCACTGTACGAGATCGTCGGACGCAAACAGGAGGATTATGAGCTTGCGGACGATTTATTTTCCCCTACCTTTCTTTTCAGTTCATGGTGGCGAGAAACTCCGGCAGCGCCTCTGCTGCAGGGGGGTCCGTCGTGCCAAGAATTAGGCAGCGGCGATGGTCGGACCTCGGGGCAGCTAGTCGATCGGGTGATTTGACATCGGGGCGATGCGTTGACCGGACATCGGAGCAGCGGCAGTGATTGAACCACTGGGCAGCGCGTCGACCGTCCATTTCCTCTTACTGCAGGGGATCACCGGTGAATTCTTGTGCGAACTTAGGTAACCTGGTTAGCCCATTGTTCTTGGGCCAAACTCTATGTCAGCTCAGTTATCAAACCCAGCAGCTACAAGTTAGGGCCCAACTTTGTAAATTTCGGCCCAAATCAGAAATTTGGAATAACACTGCTATCCAAATCAGAAGTCATACGCAACCAATTTCCCCCAATTAAAAATTTGGAGCGTGCTCATCTCCTTGCCCTCCAACGAATCTCACGGTAGCAGTTTGCTGTTGTGAACGATACCGACCGTCGAATTTCTGCTCACGATCGGTAGGCGAAGACCTGAGGATAGTGTAGCAACCAGACCACGGACCGTTGAAGACTAGCGACAGACTACCGATTGCGGCTGCTCAATTGCCTCTTGCCTAATGGTAGCTGCGACCGACAAACTTGTTTTCTTCTGCTCTTTTGTTTTTTCCTCTTTTTTTTTTTTTGTTCTTTAACGTAGGCTGCGCTAAAGGATTAGGCCCATTTATTTTATCTTTATACTCTCTGGAACAATTACCGAAACCAGCAGCCACATAATGCGTTGGGCCCAGAAAACCATCATAGCCCATTTACCTTAATGCTATGCTCCAAACAAGCTTAATGGCCCATACAACCCCACTAATTTGAGAAGCAACACATTTCACCCCATCCCTAAACATAGCAGCGACCGACCTCAGTTGCAGGCGGCAACCACCGACAGACACTTCTCGCGGCTAATCGGACCTCAGCTTGTGGGTGGCATCGACCAACGGGCACTACTCGCGGCTAATCGGACCGTAGTTGTGGGCGGCACCGATGATGGGTTTTGCACGCGAGCGGCAGATGACCGGACCTCTGGTTGCTCGCGATCCTTTATTTTCTTTTTTCTTTTTGGTGGTGAATTTTGGGTTGCTTCCAGAGCGTGTGTGAGGTATATTGCACAGGAACACAAATTTTTTGTAGATTTTGTTTGGTTGAATTCTAGAATGGGTCTTGCACAGGTCGCAAAATACAAAATGTGTATTGTGAAATTTGGAACTGAATTTCTGCTTCGTCTCTTTTTTCTCGATGTGTTAACAAAATACGGGATGCCGATATACCTTCTTCTGGTAGAACTCGGACGTCCCCACAGACGGTGCCAATTTGATGTGCAAAAATAATCGACTCACCGAGGTAGCAGGTCGAATCGCCTCATCTCGATTGCAAGACAGCTCGGACGTTTCGATCGCCTTTGTCTTCAAGAACTAGATCGACCTGCAGAGCGTCGGGGCGGGGCCCGGCGTAGACACTCCGATGCTCAAGTCAGAAAACAGATATTTTCATCGTGTATCTTAAGTAATCTTACGAGCTTAGGATTAGAAAATGAACCTGAAATCCTTATTTATAAGGATTTAATGACTTCTTCCCCAAGAAAAAGGGTTTCCTTAATAACCAAGGAGTCTCATTCTCCCAAATCACTGTGTGGATATATACAAACATACTTACATAACTCTTAGGAATATTTCCTAGATCTTCATGGATATTTTTAACCCATACCATGTATCTTATAAATGGGCTCTAAGCTTCCATGGACCGGCCCTATCCGAGCTAACCGCTCAGCCGATTAACCGAGTTATTCTTAGTGCTACATCAATATCAATCAGGCTCTTCACGGAGTTATAATGAGAGCTCCAACGAGTGGTTCCAACACGTTGCAAGTTACCACTTTGGTTGGCACCACATCCCGAGTCTCGCTCTCCATTAGCTAATAAATTCTCAATTTCTTGTCTTTGAGCTGCTCGCAACTCATAAACACGCTTTGGAGAAGAAGTAAAGATATTAACAACATTATCCAAGTGAGAAAAGAACTCCCAAATAACACTAACATCCTTTGCAGCAGAAACCAATGCCAATTGTAATCGATGTGCAAAACAATGAATATAATAAGCATATGGGCAATCTTTGTGAAATAAGGCTTGAAGACCATTCCACGAACCACGCATATTACTAGCACCATCATATCCCTGTCCTCTCATTTTTTTAACATGGAGATCATGATGAGAAAGAACGCAACAAATCTCTTTTTTCAAATTTAATGAAGTGGTATCGGCAACACTTTTGATTGAAAAGAAACGTTCAGTCAACGTTCCACTATAATTGACAAACCTCAAAATAATGGCCATTTGCTGTTTTTTTTATATATCTTGTGCTTCATCAACAAGAATACAAAAATGCTTACCCCCAACTTTTTCACAAATCATTTGGCGTACTCTATTGCCCATAATATTTGGAATCTCCTTTTGAATTTCTGGAGCAATGCATTGAGCAGTTTTTGGTGCATTCTCCAACACAACTTCATTAACTTCAGCATTCATACTAGCGAAAGCCTTGATCAATTCAATAAAATTTCCACGATTTGAAGAAGAAGATGACTCGTCATTGCCTCTGAACGAGCAACCTTGAAGTGCTAACCATCGAATGCTCATAATTGAACTCTTCAAGCGTAAATGGTTTCTCTCTTTTTCAATTTTTGACTGGGCATACAAGACTTTGTCTATATGTCCGGAGGTCCTCATCAAATCCTCCGCTCTTCTAACACACATGGTAAGAGGTGATAAAGTTGTAGAACCAATGTGAGTAAGAAATGCACATTTATCTCCTTGACTTATTCGCTTCCAATTATGAAATCCTTCTTTTGCTAATGATGAAGGATTATACATATTAACTTCACTTATGAACAAAAAGCAGTGAAAACAATAGGCTCTATCCGTGGTGGGTGAATATTCTAGCCAATGAAACTTATCAAACCACCTTTTTTTGAAAGCTGCGATTTTGGACACCAAATTTTTTGGTCGGATATGTTTCCATTTTCGGTTGATAAGGTCCCGCTCTTAAATATCCTCATCTAATCTCTGAGGTGAACGGGATATTCGCTTATTTGCTTTCTTTTTACCGGATCTCGCTCAATGTAACTAGTCGTGTTTGAGTCTGGCTCTGGGAGAATTGGAGAAATGTGCGGCGAAGGAGAATCATTATGCTCATTCTGCACCGTATTTGATGTGCTTTCACTAGTTTGACAATCCTGTTTTTTAAAGAACGATGATGGTTTTTCCTTTCTTGGCCGAAGGTTGGTGCTCCATTTGAATTTCTGAAAATTACACAATATCAATATAAGCCAAATATGCCCATTTATTTAAGCCAAATATGAGTTGAAATATTAATATTTAAACTAATTATTTTTACATTCTATTCTCATGAAGTCATGATCTACCATTCAAAAATGAATTCATACCAAATAAATTATTTACCAAAAGGCAAAATCTATAATAAAACATCCTCCTAAACCCATACCAAACAAGAAATAATAAACTCCTTTAGGCTTAAAAGTTAAAATTCCTCTTTTCCTCTCTAAAACCAAGCACTCAAACATGATATCTCACACAATAATCAAACCTCATAATAACACCATATGTCTCACATAATAATCAAAACTCACAATTTAGTCACCTAGATTCTAGGGTTTGTAAAGATTTTTTTTTTTGGGTACCTTCAAATCGGAGGGCTAAGTGGTCAGTGGTGGTCCGGAGGTTGGTCGGCTCAACGAGTTGACGGTGAAATTCAGGCGGCCCGGCCAGTGACTGAACGCAATGGCAGGTGGACCTTTTTNTTCGAATAACAGGGCCCAATTCGGACTTTTTCTACTGACATAGCATTTTTTTTGTTGACATGGCGTTTCAAGTGTCAATGACATGGCATTTTTTGTGCTGACATGGCATTCCAAGTGTCAATTAGAAATAAAAAATTTTGTTGCCCATGAGATTTGAACTTGTTTTTTTTTTTTGGTCGAAACGATAGATTAGATATATAACTCCAAGGGAACCAAGTTCGAATACAAACTAAACAACCGAAAATCAAATTGGGAGGTCACGCATGCAAGCGGCCTAGACGCCCATCGAGGACTAACAAATAACAACAAAGAAACAACTAAAAGTCTGACCAATTCAGGGAGATTTGAAACCACTGCATAAGCCTAGCTCAATCTCCCTGAGATAAACTAAAAGAAAAAAGAAAGCAAACAAAGCAAATATAAACACCAAATCACAAGGAGCTAAATTCCTGCCATTCTCGAATTGCACTTTTGAGTACAAAGTGAGTTGGCAGATTGGTTTCTTCAAAAAGCCAAAGGTTCCTCGCTCGCCAAAGCCACCAAAGAAGGTAAGTCGTGAGTTGGATGCGCTCTTCTGCAACTTCTTCCTTCTTGCGAGAGTTGATGTGTCTCCACCAAGAGCAGAAAGAAGTACCAGGCTCCTGTATATCATTCCATTGGATAGGACCTTGTTCCCACAGCTTCCTTGCTTTGGCACATTGGAAGAAAACATGTTCTATTGTCTCTGGACCTTCCCCACAGCTCTTGCATATAACATCAATGTCAATTCCTCTGGCCTTAAGAGCTGTTTTGACTGGCAAAGCATTTGAACAGCATTTCCAAAGCAGTTGTTTGATTTTTGAATGGATTTTCAGCTTCCATGTTCTGATTCTCACTGCTTTGATGGAGTCAGTATTGGAGCTGCCCTCAGGTATGTCAAGCCTTTGCACTTTCTTTGTCATCAGATCAGTGTAAAGAGAGGAGACAGTAAATTTACCTTTGTTATGCAAACTCCAAACCTGTCTATCTGGTCTATCAGGTTTCACATTGGTGATCTTTAGTATAGCTGAGCTATCAGCCGGTCCAAAAAGTTGCTGAACTAACCACTCATTCCATCCTGTTCCATTGCTATTGAGAAGATCTTTGACCCAAACCATATGTCCACTGGCAATTGAAAGCATATCTGGCCTCAGCTTTCCCAGGTTGGGCACCCAGTTAGCATCTGCAATTTTTGTATTGACCCCATTTCTGATCTCTATCCTGTATCCTCTAGCAAATTCTGGAAGGATTGATAGCCAAGTGTTCCATAGCCAGGAACTGTGCTGGGTTTTAGTGGACTCAAAAATGGAGGATTGAGGAAAGTACCTATTCTTTAAGATCTTACTAACAAGTAAATCAGGCTGTGAAGTGATTCTCCACAATTGCTTGCAGATTAAAGCTTTGTTGAAGAGCTGTACATCCATGAAACCCAAGCCACCCTCACTTTTTGGTATTGTAAGATGTTCCCAGGATTTCCAATGCAATCCTCTATCCTGCTGATCACCCCTACTCCACCAGAATAGAGCACAAAGCCTTGAAATCTCCTTGGCTACTGATACAGGAAGCTTGAAACAAGCCATTGTGAATATTGGAAGAGCACTCAGGACTGCTTTAATGAGCACTTCTTTGCCGGCAGCTGCTAAGAGTTTGTTTTTCCAGCTAGTTAGTTTGGCTCTCACTGCCTCCAAAACATATTCAAAAGCCTCTCTTTTGGACTTCCCTATTCCCAGAGGGAGGCCAAGGTATCTACAAGATTGGTGGAGCTTTATGTCTTGCAGGTTTTGGCATATGCTATGCTGCAGCAACTGAGGGGTATTCTTGCTGAATATGATAGAGGATTTTTCAAGATTGACTTTCTGTCCTGTGAATAGTCTGTACTTCTCTAATATAGTGGTAAGAGCTTGAGTCTGGTCCACCCCTGCTTTGCTGAAAAATAGGACATCATCTGCAAACATCAAATGTGAGACAGTGGGCCCTTCCCTAGAAATCCTAAGCCCTGTAAGAGAACCATTACCCACAGCTTCTTTGATCATAGCAGATAGCATTTCAGCAGTGATTATGAATAGATAGGGTGACAGTGGATCTCCCTGACGAATTCCTCTTGAAGGACTAACAAAACCCCCTGTTGAACCATTGACATTGAAAGAGAAGGTAGCAGATGATAGACAAGACATGATAAGCTTAATGAACTGCAGTTGAAATCCCATCTTTACCATAATTCTGTGTAAGCAGCCCCATTCAACCCGATCAAAAGCCTTCATTAAATCCAGCTTTAAAGCCATAAAGAAATTTTTTCCAGATCTATGTCTGCTCAGAAAATGATAGGTCTCATGAGCAATGATCACATTGTCCATAAGTTGCCTTCCTTGCAAAAAAGCAGATTGACTATCACTGATGCAACAGTCTAAGCAAGATTTCAGTCTTAGAGCCAAGATTTTAGAAAGGACTTTGTATACTACAGTGCAGAGGCTTATGGGTCTATATTGGCTAAGGAATTCAGGGTGTTTGCATTTAGGGATCAAAGTGACAAGTGTATGGTTCCAGTAGTTCATCAAGGTTCCAGACTCAAAGAAGCTTTGAATAGCTTTGATAAAATCAAGTTTTATGATACTCCAACAGTGCTGGTAGAACTGTGCATTCATACCTTCTTCTCCAGGAGACTTCTCTGCAGGTAAGCTGAATAAAGCCTCATGTATCTCCTCTTCCCCAACTGGCCTTAGAAGTTGCTGGTTCATGTCCTCAGTAATGGTTGTAGGGATCAAGTGAATAATTGAGTCACCTCCCCATGACCCTTCTGAATGGAATAAGTTTGCAAAGTAGCTTGAAATGTGAGAGTCAATATCTGCCTGTTCAGTAAGGATTTGGTTTGTCTCTGTGAGCAATCTGGAAATTGAGTTTTGCTTCCTTCTGATTCTGGCATAGGCATGGAAAAATTTTGTATTAGCATTGCCCTCTTTCCACCATTGGATTTTGGCTCTTTGTTTCCAAAATTGTTCCTCCAATTTGTGAGCTTCTTCCAATTCATGTCTGACATTCTCCCATTCTTCCCAGTTTTCAGCTCTTCCTTCATGTCTAATGTGCTCCATTCTGTCAGAGAGTTCATCAATTTTATTCTTTGTTTGAGAGTTGAAGTTGGAGCTCCATTTGAGTAGGGCAAGTCTAGTTTCTTTCACTTTTTCCTTCAGAATGAAAAATGGAGTTCCTGTCTGTGGTTTGGTCCAGGCAGTGCTAATAACTTCAGCAAACCCCTCTTTTTTCAGCCATCTCCCATCAAATTTGAATCTTCTGTTGTATCTGGCCTTCTGCTTACCATTGTCAAGCAATATCATTGAATGGTCCGATGCACTTCTCAGAATGTTTACAACCGAGGCATTTTGATTAAGAGCCAACCATGAAGAAGAAGCAAATCCTTTGTCAAGTTTTTCCTCCACTAGGCCCTCTCCTTCCCTATTATTTGCCCAAGTGAATTGATATCCATCCATATGTACTTCATCCATCTCCATTCTGGATATAAAGCTATTAAATTCCAGAAAGCTACTAGAAGGCCTTTTCCTCCCACCTTTCTTTTCATCTGAAGAGCATATATCATTCCAGACACCCAAAGCAAACCACTCCTCACCCCAGAGTCTCCTCTCCTGAATTAGGATTTGCCTCTGAGCTTCCCTTAGATTTCTGTCTGAGTTCATATAAACAAAAATTCCCCATGTTTTCCTATCATTTTGAAGAGTGAATTCTATTGCAATGAAGAAGTCTCTACAGATGACTTGAAACACTTCCACATCTAAAGACCAGAATAAAGCTAGCCCTCCACTAATACCCACTGGATCAACTATGGCACATCTTTCATCAAAACCCAGCTTCTTACTCACTGATTGCACAAAAGCTTTTTGTTTTTTTGTTTCTGACAGGAACAGTAACTTTGGGTGGTGAGCCTTAAAGGTCTCTTTGATTTGGGAAACTGTAGAGGGCCCACCCAGCCCTCTACAATTCCACACCGCAGCTAACATTGAGAACTTGGGAGCCAATCTAGGCTGGCCTCCCCCACCTTTGAATCAGTTTTCAGTTTCTTGTTCTCAGCTACAACAATTGCTTTTCCTTTATTAAGGGATGATTGGTTTCCAGGTTCTTCCCAAGGTCTTTTACTTGAGACATGAGTGTCCCTTATTACAATGCTGTTGTTTTGCCTTTGGAGCCTTCCATCTTTGTCACCTGATCTTTTCCATGTCCTTGTTGGTGGAATTTGTATCACCATAGAATCTATATGTCCAGTATTGGTTTCCAGTTGAAGGGGAAGAGTTACATCTAAGTCCATGGATTTATCTTTCTCCTGTGTGTGACCATCTTTCTCCAAATGCATTCTCTCAGTAGAAACAGGATGTTTGAAGTTTTCATCTTCAGAAGGTTTAGGTGAATTTGCTTGGTGATGCTGCTGAGTTGCTGAGTCACTGCTAACCAGCACAATCTGGTTATTATCCTCCACTTGACTGGTAGTTGCTATTAATGGAGATTGCTTATCTGGATGGGAAGTATTGTCTGAAGGAGGATCTCTGGGATCAGCAGCATTCTGAGTAGCCCAATGTTGCCCATCAGTAGCCCTTAGCCAATCGCCATATTGACCTTCTTTCAAAGTTTTTGATTTGATGTCGCTCATACGAGAAGAGCATCCTCTCTCTAGGTGCCCAACGAATCCACAATAATGGCAGAAATTAATCAACTTCTCGTACTTAAAACTAGCACAAACAATCTGTTCTCCCAGTCTAATTTTAGAGCAACGAGGGAGGGGCTCATTGATATCTACAGAAACCAAGAGTCGAAGGACCTTACCTCCATGGCTTCCAGCTCCCACCACTACAACATTGATAACCTCCTTAAAGACATGGCCAAGCTTCAATCCTACCTCCATGCTGAGCCAGTTAAGAGGAACATTGAATACTTGAACCCATAATTTGAGTTCTTGGAAATTAGGGTGGTTGCTCGAGAGGCCGGGTTGCCATTCTGATAATATGAGGAACTGGTTATCAATACTCCAATTTGTGCCTTTTGCTACTCGAACCAGATCATCTTTGCTTTGGAAAATAAATTGGAAGTAATTATGCCCAAGTTCTTTGACTTCCATTGATTGTCTAATCCTCCAAATGAGGCTCATTGTACGCTTTACCCCAATCCAGCTAGCTTTTCGGTCGCCAATGACCTTGCCGAACAAGCTTCGCTGGCATTCTTCATCACTAAGCTTTATATCCTCTTGTGCTATATCAACTACAGAATCTTCCTTGGAAGATAGCGAAAAATTTTCTAGCTTCTGCCATATTTCGTCGTCTTGACCAATGTCTGTATGAGAAGCCATTGGGATTTATGGGACCCCAATTGTAACGAGCTGCTTGAATAGAAAGACAATATCCAGATGTTATGATAAGAAGATAAGGAATGCGGTTGAAATTGATCGAGAGTTCAGCAAGAATTCAAGAATTTCGCTCTCCCAGAGAGAATAGGTTTCGCTCTCCCAGAGAGAATGAGCTCAGATTTGAACTTGAGACTTGAAGCTTTTAAGGTAGTAGTGCCACCACCACACCAATCCTAGTTACATGATTAATTTAATAGCGTTTCATATATAAAGAGTTAAATATGAATAAATCAAATTAAATTTCAAAGATAATGTATTAAATTAATAAAATATAAAATTATAATAAATTAAATGATATAAAGTTAAACGAAAATAAAATAATTAAAATAAATTAAGATAAAACATGTTATAGTAGAATGAATTTAAATAAATATAAATTTAAATATATTTATTATTTATTAGATTAATTATATAAATTTGGAAGTAAAAAATAATAATGATAAAAATAAATTAAAAAATAAATAAAGTTAAAGTGCACCAGTTAAAATATAATAAAAATAATATAATAAAAAAGGTAAAATAAAATAAAATTAAATAATAAATATAATAGGTAATTATGAAATAAAAACTAAAAAAATAAAAGTTTTAAATTATTATAATAAATAAAAATATTATTTATAAATATTATTAATATGATTTACTCTAAAATAAAATATGAATTAAGAAAATTATATATAAATTATATTTTTTAGTAAATGATTTTAATTAGAAATAAATAATTTGAGTTTCTAAATTTTATTTCATTGTCTTAAGCTATACAAAATAAGCAAAATGATTATTTTAATTTTATTTCATTTTCTTAATTTTATATACTTTATTTTTTTTATTTTGTATAACTTAATTTGTTTATTTTGTATAACTCATTTTGATTATTTTGTATAACTTAAGACAATGAAATAAAATTAAAATAAATTTAGGAACTAAAATTATTTATTTCTAATTAAAATCATTTACTAAAAAATGATAATTTGTATATAATTTTCTTAATTCATATTCTATGTTTGAGTAAATCATATTAAAAATATTTGATAAATAATATTTGATAAATAATATTTTCTTCTAATAAAAATTTTTATTGTTATTATTATTTATTTTCAAATTTATATAGTTAATTTGATAAATAATAAATATATAAATATATTTTAATTTAGTTTTATTTAAATTTATTCCACTATAACATATTTCATCTTAATTTATTATAATAATTTTAGTTTCCTTTAATTTATTATAAATTTAATTTTATTAATTTAATTTATATTATTGTTTAAAATTTAATTTGATTTAATCGTACGTAACGTTATATATATAAACGCTAAAGATTTATAAAGTAACTTGGATTGGTGTGGTGGTAGCATTACTACCATTTATTATTCAAGTCTCTGGTTCGAATCTCATGGGCAGCATAACTTTTTTTATTTCTAATTGACACATGGAATGCCATGTCAGCATAAAAATGTCATGTCATTGACACGTGGAATGTCATGTCAGCAAAAAAATATCATGTCAATGCCATGTCAGCAGAAAAAGCCCGAATTGGGTCCTGTGATTTGAATTGCAAAAAATAGTGAAAGTGGTGTATTAAATTGCTAAATTACAAAGGTGATGATTAAATTGCAAAAATATGAAAGGTGGTGTATTAATATGCAATTTTGCCTTTTTTTAATGGGCTGGGCTAGAGTTAAGGAAAAAAAAAAAAAACTAAGCTAAAGGGTGGTAAAAATAAGTAACAGGCCTGGGCTTCAGCCCAGCCCAGGCCTGTGGTGCATTCGTCTCTGTAATGCCATATTGAGATAGGAATATGAATGCTTCTAATTATTTGTAATCCACATATGTCTGTTCACGTATTTATAGTAATAGATAGTTATATACGGTAAAAACTAATGTCACTTTTCAACCGAGAATTATCATCACCAATTAAAATAAAATTCAGGATAATATAGTATGTATAAAATTAAGGCTTAATTGCACGTAAAATCTTCACCTGTAATCGAATTGCATATAAAACTCAAGCTTTTCATCTTTACAAATGAATACTCCACTTTTATTATGTATTGTAAATTTTGTCTCAAAGTTATTTTCCCAGAGCTGACGTGTCCAACCACAATTCTTGACATTTATTTTTAATTGTGTGGCACTAATGTTCAAACATCAGCTTTACTTAGCACACATCATATGAAATCTGAAAGATTTCACCCCAATTTTTGCCAAAGAAACATAATTTCACTCTTCAAATCCTTGTTCACGCATAATCCCCATCAATAGTTGGCGCTTTGGAATTTTTGACCTTCAATAATCGTACATTGACCAAGTCCATTTATTTTCGGGCAATACAAGGTCCATTTTCGCCCCCCTGTTGTTCCTCCCTCTCCCTCATTTTAATTTGTTTCGGTTGTCGTGAGCAATTCTAATGCGGTACAAGGTTCGTAAGCGATTTACTATTACAAGAAAATTAGTGGTATTCGATTTTCTATAAATTTTTCAAAAGTTGAAATGAGAGTTCTCATCAATTTTGCACAATTTGCCGTGTTTGATTTTTATTTGCAAGAAATTGGTGTTTTTGTTAAAGGCAAAGCAGCGAACGACGTCGTTTTTCACTATCGATGTAGCAAAATGATGCCACGTAAGAATTGTGGTCGGACAAGTCAGCTTGAGGTTGCCGAAAAATGATTTTGAGACAAATTTGCTACACATAAGAAAAGTAGAGTATTTATTCACAAAGATAGAACACTTGAGTTTTATATGAAATTCTATTAAAGGTAAGTATGTTATGTGCAATTAAGCCTCAATTTAATGTTTTCCTTGTGGTTGTAATGACCTTTTATCTATATATATATAATTACTAGCTCAAAACATTTAATAAAACCTATTTAATTTTACCTATGTGGCAATTTAACAATTTTCCCCCCAAAAACCGTTACATTTTGATGTATTTAATCTTTCATTTAATCATTAAATAATTAATACTCATCACTTCAAAATTACAAAAATCATTTTAAACTTTTGATTAATGACAGTTGACCATATAATGTGTTGACCGTATAATGTGATTAGATGTTATTATTGTTGTTACATTTAATTTTTTTTTTTTTGAAAAAAAAAATATATTTGAAATTCCAAAATAAATAATAAATAATTCACAAATAAAAGGTGTACCAAAATATACATTACATCCAATCAGATAAACGCAATTTAAAAAAAAAAATTCAACTCTTTTAATTGTAAATTTGGTCTACAAAAAAGTGAAAGAAAAATAATTAATCATTATATGCATACAGACTGACAATAATTTATTTATATCTGTGCAAATGCACAAGTCGAATACTAGTCTTGGTTCATTTCCTTTCCCTTCAAACATTTATTTCCCTTTTCCCAAAAGTCCTAACAGGGTCTTTGATTTCTTAAGCAATACACATAAGGATCATCATCACATACCTGATGCAACAAAATACATTTAAGAGTAAGGCTTGACTCGAGCTGCATATCACATTCATCAATAAATTATCAAATGAAAGTTAATTCGATATCTTTAGATATCAAATTAGTCGACTAGATTAACACCTTTTTACTATTATATCGTTGCTCTTTGAATTAAATCGTTTAATGAAGTGTAAAATTAATCAAGGTTACATCTAATGATGACAAACTTATTAGCCCGGCATGGAGCATTAATATTTGAGTTCAAATTTTTTTTTTTTTTTTTTCNAAACGATAGATATTTCATTCAATACAAATCAACAAGTTTACAATTTTTAAAGACCGGGGGTCTAAATAGACCCTCAAATACAAGGAGAACCACCTTATCAGATGGCCTAAAAGGCAAATACAAAGATCAGCACATCTCAGGGCAATATCACTATTGACTCTCTTAGAACTGAGCAAATGAACCAATAATACTAAGAGAACAACAATTAGCACATTATCTACTAAGTTGTACCATGAACTCCCAAGAGACCTAGTACTCCCTTTTAGTAAACTACATATGTCCGCTTATTGTCACTTAACCAAATTCCATCCAATCTCTCCAAGCGTTTTCATCACCTCTTGTTCTAGCATTCTAACTATTTGGAATTTTCAGAGGTTTCTGGACTTCCACAGCCACCATATAATATAGGTTCTGAGCTGAATCCTCTCCTCATAATTTGCCCTCATGTCTAAGCCACGGACTCCCCACCACCATCTCATGAAGTTTGTAGTTTCAATTTTTAATCCTTCCAGCTAACAGGAGACAACTTCCAAATTCTTGAGGCTCTGCTGCAGTTAAAGAGAGCATGCTCAATAGTCTTAATTCCCTCCCCACAAGATTGACAGATTGGATCAATTTGCATACCTCTCTACCTATTTAGCATTGACTGGTAGTACCCCAGTGTAACACTTCCATAAAAAGTGTTTCATTTTGCCTTTAATATGCAGTCCCCAGCTCCTTCTTGTTGCTTTCATCTCCTGTTGGACTGAATTGCTGTTCTTAGCCACATCCAAATCTCTTAGCTTTTAGAGAACCGAGTAAGAAAAAGTTGAGGCCACTGAAAACAATCCCTTTTTATCAAAATTCCAGCACCATTTGTCTTGACGAGCAGGGTTAACGGACCTGATATTTATTATCTACTCAATGCCAGCTTCTACAACCCAGTCTTTTAGTAGCTTCTCATTCCAGCTTCTACTTCCCTCCTCCAAAATGTCTTCTACTCTTGTCAGGTGACACACAACATTGGTTCTTTTGTGAGGAATTCCAGTTGTAGTGTCTGGTATCCAGGGTTCCTCCCAAAGGTTAGTAGCTTTCCTATTCTTGATTTCCACTTTGAAACTCTTCTTATGTTTGTCCCTCACCCTCATCCAATTTCTCCACATCCAAGAAGCATTGTAGGAGGATTTAGCTTGACTAAGTGATCCATTAGAGAAATATTTTCCCTTCAAAATCTTACTTACTTTCAGGTTTGGATTGGTGACAACTCTCAACAGCTGTTTTAGGATCAATGCTACATTGAATAGAATGATATCTTGAAAACTCAGCCTACCATCTTCTTTGGCTATAGTCACTGAATTCCATCTCATCCAGTGCCATCCAGGTCCCTGATCATCACCTTTACTCCACCAAAAACCTGCACTTAACCTGGTAATCTCCTGACATATTCCTTTTGGTAAGCAAAAGCTGCATAGCATTAATAACTAACTTCAACAACACTTCTTTGCCAGCACTAGAAGAAAACTATTTTCCAACTAACCAGTCTATTCTCACAACATCTACCACAAAATTTAAACACTTCTTCTTAGATCTCCCTATACCCAGGGGAAGGCCCAGGTACCTAAAAGACATATAGACAGAAATTCCGTCCAACACTTGATTCACACTCAATTGAATCTCCACAGGTGTGTTCTTACTAAAGAAAGCAGAAGATTTAGTCAGATTCACTTTTTGGCCAGTGAAAAGTGGTACTTATTCAAGACATCCAGAAGTACCAAATCATGCCTACTATCAGATTTATTGAAAATGAGAGCATCATCAGCAAATAGTAAGTGAGAAAATTTTCGGCCCATGTTTAGATATACTCATCCCAGTAAAGTTTCCTTTCTCCTCCTCAACCTTTAACAATCTAGTGAAAACCTCAGAGACCAAATGAACAGATAGAGCGACAAAGAGTCCCCCTACCTTATTCCTCTGGTTGCTTTACAAACCCCTTTATATCCCCATTGAGATTGAAAGAAAAACCAGCAGATGTGACGCAAGAAAAAATCCATTTAACAAAAGTGAGGTGTGAACACCCAATTTAAGCAGGATTTTTTTGATGCAATTCCATTCAACCCTATCATAAGTTTTCTCCATGTCTAATTTAACTACCATAAACCTATTCTTACCAGACCTATGTCTATTAAGGAAATGGATAGCCTCTTGAGCAATGCTTACATTATCAAGTAACTGTCTCCATTGAATAAAGGTTGACTGATTTTGGCTAACACATAGACTGAGACGACTTTTAAATCTATTGGACAAAATTTTGGAAATAATCTTGTAAGAAACCCCACAAAGACTTTTAATCTATAGCTGCTCAGATATTATGGGTTGGGACATATAGAAACAAGAGTGATAAGAGTATGATTCCAATTATTCAAGATTTGACAAGACTAAAAAAAACTAAAAATAACAGCACACAAATCCAATTTAATAACATACTAGAACTTTTGAAAAAAACAAGGGAGACATACCATATTGTCCTGGTGCTTTGTTTGGGTCCATGTTGAACAGTGCCTCTCTGATTTCTTCGTCAGTGACAGGAGCTAATAGATTCTGGTTCATCTCCTCTGTTATAGCTGCAGAAAGGTACTGTAAGATATCAATTGCTTCTCTTGAGCCCTCTGTAATGAAAAATTTCTCATAGAAGGAAACTAAGCACTCCTCTATTTCTTCTTGAGTTTCACACACTCCAGCCTCTAAGTACACTAGCCTTCTTATGTCGTTTAACTTTCTCCTCTACATAGTCACATCATTAAAACATTTGGAATTAGAGTCCCCCTCTTTCAACCATTTAATCCTTTCTTTCTGATTCGAGTATTCCTCTTCCCTTTTGTACTCTAAATCAAGTTCTTTTTTTACATTAGACCATTCTCCTTAGTCTCTATCTCCTCCCATGTGTCTCAACTCCTCCAGCTTAGCAATCAGTTATTTTTTGTGCTTCTCACTATCAGTCTTGAAAGAGTTGCTCTACATAAGAAGAGCAACTCTTGCTTCCTTAATTCTCTCTTAATCATGATACATAGGTGTTTCACTTTTTTGCAATTCTCAAGCTTTCTACACAGTCTCCTTCACTCCTTCCAGGTTCAGCCGTCTTCTATCAAAGACAAATCTTCTTTTCTTATAGTTGTTCTGGTCTTGTTTATCATTAAGGAGCAATAAGAGGTGGTCTGATGAGCTTCTGAATATATTAACAATTGTGGCTCTTGAGTGATTAGCAAGCCACTTGTAGGGTGCAAAGAATCTGCCAATGTTGTAGCGCCCCACTTTGATTTAACGAAAATCTATGGCTTTTCAGAAAAAATCAGTTAAATTTTCCAAAATTCATTTCATACGTTTATGGCGTTACTATCCATATCAATAATATTAACTCCCAAAACGGGTTTCATCACAAGTCATCAAATTACCCAAACCGGGTTCCCATAAAATCATCACAGTGTCAAAGGGGTATCTCCCCAGCAATATTTCAAAACATCGTAAAATCTCATGTTCATAAAATCCCAAGTCATGAAATCATAACATCACAAATCAGTTCAAAATGGCGAAAGCAACAAACATAATCTGGTCATATAGACCGATCACCACTCGCT